TATTTATTCAACGGAAAACAGAATGATGATAATCCATAAAATAAAGGCAAGTCATATTATAAAAAATTAAAAGTCCAAACAAAACACCCATCAGTTTCAAATGTAAACCCAGAGGAAGGGAGGGAGAGAGAGTGTCCAAATGTAAATCCAGAGAGAGATCCTCTTGAAGATATATTTGAAGGATAATCCGCAATAATAAAAAATACAAGATAACAACTCAAAACATAATCCGATAGATTATTGATAATTCAAAGACAGTTTTTTCCAGTAAACACCACAAATTAAAAGAGGACTCAATATTCAAATTTTGAACATGAAATTTACCATCCAAATAGAGAAAATAACTAACGCGGAAGTAGAAATAAATGTTTTCATAATCCTCGACAATGGAATTCAGAAAAATGGCAGATCGGAAAAGCATATGTTTCAAAAATTTAAAAACACACGAAAGGTAAAAAAATCGGTAAATAAATAGATGCCTAAAAACCGCTAGATAAATGTTGTAAAGAACAATTCAAAACAAAATTGTATTTCTCTCTCTCTCTCTAAGACACTAAATCAATAGCAACCAGTAAACCCTCACTTCTGAACCACAAGAGAAACCAGATATACCAAATTGATTGAAAAACCTAAGAACCAATCTTACCCTCTGATATGGCTTGCTGAATTTCTGCACATTTAGTGATAACTCCAACACTATCTGCTCCCTCTTCCTCATCTTCAATTAACCTATCATCATACCCATTGTTCGCACCAGAACGATGTTCCGGTGAGACCCTAACTTGTGAAACCAAATACCACTGTAATAGCGCGAACACTATCCCTATAATGGCGGCCACAGGTATCAGGACCTGGGCCAGCGTTTCCCCTAACAAAGCAGAAGACGCCATTAAAACCAGAAACGCCCAACAAAATAGCGGTTTTTTATATGCCCAAAACCAGTTCCTCTCTCTAACTTCTCTCTGTAACAAAACCAGTTCTCTCTACTGGCTCACGCTCTGAAACGTCCAAAGGATTTATATACCCACTACCACGGCTACTGGATTTTAAGCGTTCATTGTATTCTATTTAATAAATGTGATTACTGACAAATCATCATGTAACCCTGTCGTAATTATCTAGCTTTTTTTTAGTTGATTTTATACTCGATTCTACCCTTTATCAATAATATACTTACGGTGATACCCTTGTGTCTTTAGGAATTTACAGTATTACTCATGCAACTCTAATAAAAGAAATGAAATGACAAAATCTTACTTCTATTTTTGTTGAAGTGTTTTAAAATCTGAAGATATTAAATTTAGGATAAATGAGAATCGGTCTAGACTCTAGAGATGGCGATCTGAATACGAATCAGACCAAACAGCCCAAAAATTTAAAATTAATAAATAAATAAACACTTTTTATTTTTATTTTAAGCTTGTCTATTTTTTTTAGGTCCCAGTAAATCGCTTTCTATAAACTTATATTTTTTACTTTTATATTTTAAAATAGTATATCTTGTAATATATTATCTGAACTATTAATTTTTAAGATTGCCAAATGTTTGTAGATCGGTTCGATTTGCAATATTTTTGAGTCTTTAAATTTTATAATTAGATACGGAAATAAATTTCAAGTCATAATAAATATTTATATTAGTGAAACAACATATTTCGGAACTATTTGAACGTGCACACACTTGTAGGGCCTCAACCTTATACAAACCACCTTTAAAAAATAACTCCACTTGCTTTTTAAAATTATTTATAAAGCAAAAGACATAAGACATTCTAATAATAAAAAAATTCAAAAGTAAATAGTCCCCCTTTCTATTTTAAAATAAAAAAGTTATAATTTAATAAAGGATAAAGTTTATATGGAGCCGAGGTTCTAAACAATCAAATTAGAGCCTAAACTTCATTAGAAGATATTGCTTTGATGCCCAACTATCCTCAAATGGCTCATCTCGACATCAAGATGCACGGACATGAGAAAAAAATAGATTTCAAGCTTTGGAAACAGTGTATTTTGTAATACATTTTTGGACCATCAATTTTCAAGATTTTCAAGTCTATTTACATTAATTTTGAAGCTTTAAACTTTATAAATAAAAATGATGATATATTTTAAGACTATCACAAAATTTTTTGGTATCGAAACAACATTTCTTGATACTTTAAAACAACATTTCTTGATACTATTCGAAGGTAGGCTCTAATTTGATTGTTTCGAGCCTAGGCTCAACACAAACCGCACCCTTTAACAAATTGATTGTTTTACCATTTATTAGATGTTACAAACAGAAACTTTTAAACAACGATTAAAATAAAAATAACACAAAGTAAATTTAATTAAAATATAAAAACGGCAATTAAATGATTAATATAGAGGTTCATGTGAGGCACGAGACATTAACTAGTTTAATTTTTTCCATTTTATACACGTGCTAATACTGAACGGCTATGATTACTCCTTGTCTAGAGGGTTGGATGAAAAACTATTATTTTCAGAAATTTTTATTTTGTTTGATAAAGAGCATTATAATCTTTTGTTTTTTAAAAAAACATATCCTCAATTATTTTATGGGTGCGATTTGTATAAGGCCCAGGCTCTAAACAATCAAAGTAAAGTGCACTTTTAAAATGTGTCAATAAGTGTTGTTTCAATATTAAAAATCTTTTGTGATAGTTTTAAAATATATATTTCATCTCTAATTATAGAATTTTAAAAAATAATAGGTCGAGTAGAGATATATGAAAACTTTAAAAACTTAAAAATTGATGGTCAAAATATGCATTACAAGATGCACTATTTTCAAAACTTGAAATCCATTTTTTTCTTCTTATCATGTTCATGCATTTTTTAGGTCGAGGTGATTAATTTGAGGATATTTGAGCATCATAACTATTTATTTTAGTGAAATTTTTGAGCTGCGTCTTAATTTGATTGTTTAGAGCCTCACATTTATGAAACATTTATATAAACTTTTTTCTTATTTTATCTTCTATTTTTCAGACAAAGACCAAATTAGTTTCTTTGATTCTAAAAAAAGTATTTATAAATTAAAATTTCTTTTTTTATGAAATTAATTTATCCGAAAAAAAAGAGGAATAGCCTACTTGTGCTTTACTAAAATCAATGGAGCAACGGATAAAACTTTTCAAAAATGACAAAAACCGCCCTTGTCTCATACCCATGATCCAAGGAATTGAGCCTTTTCAGAGCTTTTGTTGATTAGTAAAGGGCCCACAAATTCATATGAATTTTCAAGCCTAGTCCTCCACGAAGTACGATGGTTAGATAGGGAGTCTGGTGCTTCATAATAACTAAACGTACACACATGAATCATGTTTTTTGGGGTAGTCAAGAAAACATGGTTTTTTTTCTTAGGGGATAAAATTAAAGTATTAGACAAAATGTGGACAAATATCCCATGTTTATATAATGGACATGGTGTCCATGAGTCTATGTAGAAATGAGTCACCTCTCATATGTCATAATAGAATTGGTGGGTCCAAGACTCCCATGAAAAGCATTCTATACCATTCATTTTCCATTTGTTTTCCAACTTTCTTTTTTCTCGATACATTTCATGGGTAAAAGGGAAAACATGGTTGTATAGAAATGTCAAAAGAATGAAAAAATTTATACAAGTGCAAGGCTCTAAACATTCAAATTAGAGGGCATCTCAAAAATTTCACTAAAGATGTTGTTGGGATGCGCATCATCCCGACCTCAAGATTCATAGACATGAGAAAAGAATGGATTTGAAGTTTTGGAAATAATACTTCTTGTAATGCATTTTTTTACTATCAATTTTCAAGTATTTTTATAGATCTGCTTGATCTACCTTATTTTTAGAACTTTAAATTTTATAATTAGAGATAAAAATATATTTTAAGGCCATTACAAATATTTATAGTATCAAAACCATGTTTCTCTGCACTCTAATGAAGGTGAGTTTTATTTTAATTGTTTAACACCTCGGTTTTTATACAAACTGCACCTTCTGGGGGTATTCCGGATAATTCTTGTAAAAAAAAGGGTTTTATGTGATCCTAAATTTTGTAATTTATAATTTAGGGGAACTTTATATTTTTATTTTGTTTTTCATTTGTTTACTTTTTCCACTGATATCGTACTAGAGCAGGTAGGTGAAACCTCCATCATGGTTCTAGAGGCTTGCTTTCCACCCCTGACTTTTCATCCTCTTCTTCCCCATTCTCAATTTGATTATTATTTTATTAATAGCCCAAGACTTTTACTCCTAAAAATAATAAAACTTGCATGGTATATGAAATTGACAAAATGCCCCCTTCTTGACTCCAACGGTTTTAAGATTTTAGGAAAGGTAATGTATATGGTGAGACCATTTATTTTTGAACTTGGTACAAGAAGGTCATAATTATTATAAATTATTGAATGTGAAATTCGATAGATGGTGATGTATCACTAATTGAGTGTAAAGTTCGAAAATAATTTTTTTCAAAAGCTGTGATGTATTTTTAATATGTTAGATTTTACATCCAATGACTAAAAAAAGTTGTGATTTTTTTGTACCAAAAATAAATAATCTCATAGTATACGCTCCCTACTCTTTGTGATAGACCAACTAGCCATCTCTCTCTAGTTGGTTTTCATGGTATAGTCATGTGTTCGAAAAAATGTCAATGTGGGAACTGCTGATTTGGATTAGGTTTGGTGCATGATGAACCTAGTCCTTCCTTTTGAATCACACTAGTACTATTTATCTAATTTTTACTGAGTTTCACCGCTTCAACTAATCTAAATTGCTGATTCAATCGATCCAGATCGGTAAAGTGGAGGGTTGATCCACTCAAACGATGTGACTTTTAAAACACTTGGACTTGTAGTAGATCTCCCTCTCCCCATAAGGTTTCGTATGTAGGGGTGATGCCCTCCTCCTAACGATAGATGGGGTTCGATTTGTTTATAAGAGGACGGCACTCTCCTACCTGGTGGGAGAGAAAAGTATGTGCCACCAACTTTTAAGATTAGGTACTAAAAATAAATAGCCTCATAGTATACAATTTTTTTAGAATTTACACACACAATTCACTTAGGCTAAATAAAAGAAAGAGTTTACATAAAGTTGCAATTTTATATAGCAAACAAAAAGTGCACCTCAAAATTCATATAGGTCATTTAGATGTTGAAAAACTCTCTAATTGATCATCTTGACCTCGACATGCACGAATGTAAAAAAAAAAAAATCCTACAAATGATACATCTATTAATATATTGTCTAGAGTATCTAATATCAAGATTTTTATCAGTTTGCATATCCACTCTATCTCTACCAATTTTTTAGTATTAAATTGTATAATTCGAAATGAAGTAGATTTAGGTTATCATTAAAATTTTCAACAACAAAATTATATCTTTTGACCCATGCTTTAATTGGATTATTTAAGGTAGACACCTTATACAAGACACGCCATAAATAAATAATATATGGAACTTTGTTCCCCCTCCTCCTAAGTGTTATTTTTTGGTAGATAAAAGTTAAATTATCCTAAGAAGTCCTCGTACACCGTGCATCTTAACCTCTAAGGCACCAAGATATTTAAAATGCCTAAACTTGCATTAAAAAAGTAAGATGCCTAGACATAAACAACTGCCCTAAATCATTAGTGTAACATACTCCTGAGGAGCATACTGTGTGTTTGGAGCATACTGTGTGTTTATTCTCTTGGGTAAAGAAACCTAATCATAGGTTTTTTTCTTATATTTTGAGATCCATTTTATAGTCACAAGATGAGCATTTTCACTAGAGAATTAAAATTATCATTTTTTAATATTTTATTTTTGACCATTTAAAGTTTAAGGAAAAATAAAGTCTCAAACTCTCAATTCAATAATACTAGTATATTAGTTTTTAAGGCAAATATTTAGTACTTGGACCTGGTTTCTACGCAGTCAAGCCTGCACATATAGAAATACGGGCCTCTTAATAAATCTATTTTTGACATGGATTTTAAGAGTTAATTTTTAAGGACATGTAATCTCTAGCATA